GACCTCGCTCAGCCAGTGAGCGGCCGGTCTGTATGTGGACCTCGCTCAGCCAGTGAGCGGCCGGTCTGTATGTGGGATCCGAACCCTCGGCGGGAGTGCCGCCGCACTCCCAAGCGGCGCACTGTAGCAGTGCGCCACCGGGCCGGCCCAAGATTCCATTAGATTTTCTATGTAGATGAGTATATAATCTGTGAATAAGAGCACTTTTACTTCTTTCCAATCTGGATGCTTTTTATCTCTTTTTCTTGACTTTTATAACTGACCAGAACCTCCAGTATAAATTTGAATGGAAGTGGTGAACAGGCATCCCTGTTTTTTACCTGATGTTAAGGAGAAAGCATTAAATATGATGTTAGAGGTTTTTGCATACGCCTTTTATCAGGTTGAGAGAGTTTTTTTCTATTCCTTGTTTGTTGAGAGTTTATATGAAATAGATTTTTAATTTTGTCAAATGCTTTTTCTGAATCTGTTGACAGGATCATATGGTTTTCTGCCTTTAGTCTGATAATATGGCAAATTACATTTTGGCAGGGAGGGCAGCTGGCTGATATAGGGATCTGAACCCTTGACCTTGGTGTTTTAAGGCTGTGCTCTTACCAACCGAGCTAACTGGCCAGCCTTTGATTTTTAAATGTTAAACCAGTTTTGCATTCCTGGGATAGTGATATATTGTCTTTATAAAATATTGCATTTGATTTGCTTATATTTTTTATTTTCGATTTTTTTTTTGTCCTCACAAGGGAAATTTTATTAATGGCTATAGTTTATTCCCTTGCAAAAGACCAACTGCAACAAAATGAAGGGAAAATAACCTCAAGATTTTATTTTCTTCATGATAAAACAAAAGATGAAGCTTAGAACTGGATCACTTGGCCCTGTCTCTTCTTACCTCTTCTCAGTTCAAAATGCTTGCATCTCTTAATAGCCAGCATTCTCTTAGATCTGCGGTTGGGCTCAATGCACTCAAGCCCCAGCACAGTATTCTTTGTAGTTTTAGCCTTTTTCTGGAAAATCGGCTTAGTCTGCCCACCATAGCCACTCTACTTCCTGTCATCATTCTGCTTTCCCCGGGCATATAGAGAATCCTTTCCCTTCTTGTACTATGTCACTTTATGGGGTTGGTGATTGCCACACTAATTACAGAAAGTCCAGTGAGTTAGGAACATTCACCTGGTAAATAAGCCACTCAGAATGTGCAGTGTTATCAGACCACAGTGGCACAACAATCTACCTGACCTAACTGAAGCTGAAGCACTCCATGAGGACTGGCTCAAACTCCTCAATTACACACAATGCTCAACTCGCTCGGACTAAAACATGGTCCAGCCCCATGTCTTTATTTTCTATTTATTTATTTTTTTGGCAGCTGGCTGGTACAGGGATTGAATGCTGGACCTTTGTGTTATCAGCACCACACTCTAATCAACTGAGTTAATCAATCAGGCCAGCCCTTGATTTGCTTAAATTTTGTTTGGAATTTTTGCATCTATGTTTGTGAGGGAAATTGGTCTGTAGTTGTCTTGAAATGTCTTTGATCTTTATCTGTGATGTCTTGTGACCTTGTAACGTCCATGTGCTGTTTCTTTTCTAGTATAGGTGTGTTTAGTGCTATACATTTCTCTACAAGCCCTGTTTTAGCAACATACTTTCAAATTTATTGAGACTCATTTTATGGCCCTGGTTATGATCTATCTTGGTAAATGTTTTATGTGCACTCGAGAAGAATGTATATTCAGCTTTTGTTTGGTGAAATGTTTCCATAAATATCAGTTGGTTCAATTTGGTTGATAGTGTTGTTCAAGTCTATTATATCTTTGCTGGTTTTCTGCAAACTTGTTATATCAGGTATTGAGGGAGAAG